AGAAACCAATTAAAACATCAGGAAATAAAAATCATCTCCATAATAACACTGAATGTTAACTTTCCAATCAAAGCACAGACATTGGCAGAATGAATTCAAAAACAGGACCCCACCATGTAAGACCCACTTTACAGGCAAAGACACCCACAGGCTGCAGGTGAAAGGATGGAAAGAGATTTACCATGCAATTGGAAACTGAAAACAAGCAGCAATCGCTATCTCATCTGGCAAAATAGATTTCAAGACAAACTCAGTCAGAAGAGACAAGGGTCCCTTCATACTGGATAAGGGAATTATCCAATGACAAGATATAAAGATTGTAAATATTTATGTCCCAAACATCTGTGCACCTACATACATAAAATATTCCTGACTCACATAAAGAATCATATGAACCCTGATACAATAACACTGTGTGATTTCAACATACCTCTCTCACCAATAGAGAGGTCATCCAGACATCATAAACTAAGGAAAGACTCATGATATATATATATATATATATATATATATATATATATATATATATATATATCAAGTGTACCTAACAGACATCACTAGAATATTTCATCCATCAAAAATAGAATTCACATTTTTCTCAGCTGTACATAGAGACTTTTCAAAATAGACCATATTTTAAAACACAAAGCAAGTCTTAGCAAATATTAAAAAATAGCAATCATCCCTTATATCATATTTAATGGAAAAAACAGAAATCAATAAGATTAAACAAGTCATTTTAACATCTAGAGATTACATATTATGCTTCTGAATGAGAAATGGGTCAAAGGAGAAATGTAATAAAAAAAGACCTTAGAAACCTATGAGAAAAAGACATAACAACATAAAATCTCTGGGATGTTATGAAAGCAGTTCTAAGAGGAAAGTTTATAGCAATAAGGGCCTCCATCTCAAAAAAAATAGAAAGATCCCTAATATTCTAATATTAGGGATCAAGACACAAGACCTCAAGATACTAGAAAAGGAAGGAAAAAAAATTTCAAAATAATTAGATATAGAAAATAATTAAAATCAGAGTCAAAATTAATGAAATTAAGAATAAACAACATTCAAAGAACCAATACAACAGAGTTGGTTCTGTGAAAGGATCAAGAAGACTGATAAACCCTACCCAAACCAAGCAAGAGAAAGAGAGAGAAGAACCCAATCCACTAATTTACGGACTAAGAAGATACCAGCACAGACACATCTGAAATTGAGAGGATCAGTAGAAACTATCTGGAAAATTTTGCTCCAACAAACTAGAAAATCTAGAAGATATTGACAAATTTCTAGACAATATGACCTGCCCAAATCGAGACATGGGGATATCGAAAACCTAAACAGCCAATATCAAACTATGGGATTGAAGCAGAAATTAAAAGCTTTCTAAAAAGGGAAACCCCAAACCAGCCGTGTTCTCAGCCAAATTCTACCAATCGCTGAAATAAAATCTTATATTCTTCTTCCTCAAATCATTCCATGGAATAGAAAGGGGGGGAACCCACCCAAATTTGTTCTGGGAAGCTGATATCCTTCTTATATACAAACCAGACATAGAAAAAGGAAAGAAAACCACGGACCCATTTCTCTCTAAACATAGACACCAAAAATAACTAAAGAACTGTTAACAAAGTGCTTTCAAAACAGATCAAGAAGGTGGGGAACCATGGTCAAGTGGGATTCCCCCAGGGATGCACAGTCGCTTCAACATACATAAATCAGTAAGTGTAATTCCTCACAGAGCAGAATTAAGGACAAGAATTATACATCACCCACAAGTAGAAAAAGCTTTGATATAATCCAGCTTTAAAAATGCTGGAGAAACTAGAAGACGGAGAGCAGAACAAACCCTGGGGAGTCAGCAGGCTCACCACCAAGTTCTGCTACCCCAAGTGTGTTCCCAGACGAGGGGCACCACCCCTCACCTGCCTGGATGGAATATTTTTCTCTATCTGTCACTCAAGGGACCCTTCAGCCCACACTTGAGTTCCCAAATAAATGCTGCTATTGATCAAGCTGGTGCTGAGGGATTCCTCTTTGGAATCCTAACAGTCATTTCATGGTGGTTTCTAGCAGTATATTGTGGAAACTCCTGGGTGACAAGTTTGGAGAGTCCCAGCAGAGGGACTAGACAGGAAGGACAGATTGTAACCGTACAGTCAGAGCCTCCGGTGCCACCAGGGATAACTGCAGACCGTACATAGCCTGCACTGGAGTGCACTAGGATAACTGTGGCCAGCACAGCACTAACTCAGGGGTCACCCAGCGTTCTCCATTTATAGAACATGAACTTGGTTATCACCAGGAACAAGGGTGCTGCAGCACAGAGATCACAGTAGGCCAGTGGGTGCTGGACTCTGCTGTCCCTCAGTCGTAGCACTGGTCCAGGACAGGGCATGGACTGAAGTTCAGAACTGAGCATGGGCCTGTGGGATCCAGCAGAGAGCATGACTGGGTCACACCTGGTGACAACTATAGGCAGAGGGTGCTTCAGAGGAACTCTATGTAAGTGTCACCAACCTCCTGACACAGGGACTCATTCCAATAAAGTAACTATTTTGTTAAAAGAACTCAATAGACACTTCTCAGAAGAAGAAATACAAATGACCAACAAATACATAAAAAAATGTTTGGGCTGGGGATGTGGCTCAAGCAGTAGCGCGCTCGCCTGGCATGTGTGCAGCCCGGGTTTGATCCTCAGCACCACGTACAAAAAAAGATGTTATGTCTGCCAAAAACTAAAAAATAAATATTAAAGAAATTCTCTCTCTCTCTTTAAAAAAAATGTTCAACATCCCTAGCAATCACAGAAATGCAATCAAAACGACATTGAGATTTCATCTCACTCTGCTGAGAAAGACAATCTTCATGAAAACAAATAATAAATGCTGGGGAGGACGTGGGGAAAGGACACACTCACACATTTGTGGGTGGAACTGCAACTTAGTACAACCACACAGGAAAGAACTATGGAGATTCCCCCAAAGACCAGGAATGAAACCCCATGGGACCCAGCAATCCCACTTCTTGGCATTTATCCATCTCTAAAGTTAGAACACTGTAGTGATGCAGCCACATCAACGTATACACCAGTAGAACTCACAAGAACCCAGTTTTGGAACTAGCCCAGGTACCCATCAATAGAAGAACAGATTAAGGAAATGTGGTGTATACACACAGAGGTGTATTACTAAGTCATAACAAAAGATGAAATCATGGCATTTCCAATAAACAGATGGAACTGGAGGATGTCATGCTGAGTGAAATAAGCCAACTCAGAAAGGGAAGGGTGAGATGACTTGGCTCATATGGAGAACCAAGAAAAAAATGAAGGCAAAAAGTATGTGTGTGTGTGTTTGTGGGTGTGTGTGGCAGGTGCTCTGGTATCATAAAGATAGAGGGAACATCAGTGGAGAAGAAGAAAAAGACTGAGGGGGTAGGAAGGACTGGAGGTGAGAAAATGGAGAGTGGAGTGGACAAAATCATGCAGTGTGCATTATAAATACAGCACAGTGGGCTCCACCTTAATGCATCTCTATAAAGCGTAAGTACATAAATACTAGTGGATAGAGGAGGGAAAAGTGGGGGAGGAACATCACAGCCACTGGGGACGGAAGTGGAGCAAATGACATCCCATGCATGTATGATTCTGTCAAAATGAACCCAACTATTACGTGTCACCACAGTGCACCACTAAACCATCAGAAAGCTCACCATTTTACTCTGTCGCCTGGGTGGTGTCCACACTCCCTCATTCAACCCATGGGATTGGTGGACGGTGTAACTGGTGACACATATTATGTGTGCTTAGTGCTTTAGACACATGTCACGACTCCATAACTACTGAGCACTCACAGGGTCACGTGATTGCCATAACTCTCTAGAATTACTTGGCAATACTAGTAATGAAACAAAACTCAGGAAACAGTTTCCCCTTTTATAAAAGGTAGCTCTTTGGTCTTGATGGGCCCAGTGTTCTCTCTGTCCAGAGCACATGTGCCCCTGCAACTTTGCCTGACTCAGTTCCTCTCTGCCTTCAGCCAGACGAATACCAGTACCCCGACTGTTGGTCATTCTCCCCAGGATGCACACAGCAGTCTGTGGCCACATAGATCTAGATTCAGTGTCCACAGCTCCTAGTTCAACACACAAGTGCTCAGTCTATTGATTCTCCCAGGAATTAGCAGGAAGAGTGGAAAGTGTTCTTGTTCCTGATCATCAACATCTACAGGAAACCCCGTTGCCTTCAATGTGGGGTTTATGTCATTGATCAGCTGGATTTCCTTGTAGCTGACAGAAGCCCATGGGAACCGACACAAATGTAGGTGCATTTTTCAGCATTCCTGGAATCAGTAGGTCACTATTATGGGCCCCCTGGATGGGCGTGTTGCTTGAACATGTGGAGCTGTTGGTCCCCGAGTCCCCTGGGCACTGAGAGTGCTCAACCAAGGAAGAAACAGAGCTTCGATGGATCTTTGATAGATATGAAGATTCCCTCATCTCAGTCCCTAAATCCTGACACCATGCAACCCACTCCCACATGTTAATCAGAAGGAAAGGGAGTAGTGGACCCTGGAGTCAGTGACAGTCCACCCCTCTGTCTGCTGACTCTGAAGCAGGTTCTTGTCCTTTAGAGTCAAGGAGTCTTCAGTCCACAGTTCCACAAAGTCCTTCCAGGCTATTATTTTTACACTGTATCTATTGATTTCAGGTAAAATTTCCATTTTGAAAACTCTTCAAAATGCAAATAAACAAGAAAATGGCTTTCTTCAGGCCCCATGGATTCCTCAGTGGGGTTATTTTGCAGCACTTGCTATGGGGTCCCGTCCATGAACTCATGATCAGATCCTGATCTTTTCATTCCCTAAATGAGTCCAAAATTGCTCAATAAAAAGAAACTTTGATCACCAGTCACAAATTCATTTTATAACCAGTTAATTCGACAACCAGAAAAGTTAATGATTCTTTTGACTTTACTTCAAAGTTCAGTCTCCCAGTACCTCCCCCAACATCCAATGGTGGATACAGCTTGAACCCCTGCACCACGCACAGAGAGCTCATCACCATGACAGATGGCTACTTGTGGTTTGAAGGGTTACCTTTCCCTGTGCTTGGTTTTAGTCCTGAAGTTTTGAAAGAAGCATGTGCTCAGTTTGTGATAAAGGATGAAGACACAGTATTGGTGACCTACCCCAAATCAGGTAAGGAAACAGGACAGGGACCATCAATGGGAAAGGCGATGGCTGCGTTTCTCGCTTACTCAGCAGATGGATGGCCTGACCTCTCCATGCCAGTGAGCCCTGCTTTGGGGAAGAAGGGGCAGTGCCCCAGGCCACTTGCATCCAGTCTAGGACAGAGTGACATAAGTGCTGAGCAGAGGTCATCTGAGTTATGAGAGGGAGATACAGGAGTGAATTGTAAGCAGATTTGGGCATTTGTGTGGTGGCACGGGGAAAGGGGTGGAAGAGGGTGACCTGTGAAGACCTACTGGTGAAATACCAGCTCAACAGGAAGGAAAATTCAGAGTGGAGGTCATGTGGTGGAGGGATACTATAGAGCAGGAGGGTCAGCGTGGTCAGTAGCTTGTAATCAGAAAGAGCCTGGAAAATTCAAGGGACTGAAAGGACATGTGTCATGCACCTACAGGAGAAGGGCATGGAGCAGGATCACAGCAAACTGGGCGAGGATTGGGGCCAATGACCTTTGAAGGGACACGAGGTTGGAAAGTCAAGGGAAGTTGGGACATATTAGAAGGATCTCAGCCAAGAGCCAAGGGTTGCAAGCATCCAAATATCCACTGGTAGTTTAACGGGTAAACAAAATGTGGGGAGTTGATACAATGGAGTAAGATTCAGCCTTAACCAGGACACAGGCTGACTCCTTCTACAATATAGGTCAATTCTGGGACTCATGCTAAGTGCAGTCTGATGGGCACAAAAGGACAAATAGTATAGGAATCCCTGGGGCAAAGTGTAGTCAGGTTCACAGAAACAGAGAGCCCCATGGTGGGTTCCAGGGCCTGAAAGATGGAATTAGTAGGGAAATGTTGTTAAGGAGCAGAGAGTTTCAGTTTTTCAGACAAAAAGCTTCTGGACATCTGCTGAGCAACAGCAGGAACATGCTGAACACTGCTCAGCACCACCCCATGGCATGCTTAAAATGGGCAGATGGTAAAGTGCATGTCATGTATTTTATCATAAGTTTTGTTCACAAGCCAGGTTGAAGTGAGCGACCATCACTTTTCCTTCCTTCTCTAGGAACCAACTGGATGATTGAAATTCTCTGCCTGATTCACTCCCATGGTGATACCAAGTGGATTCGATCTGTGCCCACCTGGGAACGCTCACCCTGGATAGAGACAGATGTGGGTTACAAACTGTTAAATGAGAGAGAAGGTCCACGGCTCATGTCCTCTCACCTCCCCTTCCATCTCTTCCCCAAGTCTCTATTCACTTCCAAGGCCAAGGTCAGTGCCTAATGTTCAGCCCATGCTTTCCCCTTCCATGTGCCTAGGTCACCCTGCAGATCTTGCTGGGGTGTGTGCTCACTGGGTAGATTGATGAGACTGCAATTCCCAGATATTATTTAGGTTCATGTGGCTACAACCAGACCACACTTGAGTGCAAGGATGTGGACTATTCTGCAGATTAGCCTCACGTGAATTCAGGGGTAATACGACTGGCTAAAGTCAGAATCTTAGAAAACCACATTCATGTGTAAATTATAACTGCGTCTACACTAGAGTGTCCCAGCGTACAGCTCTTACAGATATTCGCCAGTACTCACTCAATCACTGCCTCCTGCCTGGTATGAGGAAGCACTCAAGTCAGTGTTGCACATATACGGGAAGCAGAGCCTGCATATATTGATGAATGCTCACATCCAGGGGACTGCTAGGATAGTGGCTAGCTAGGTAACAATGCCAGCCCTTGCACGTCACTGTGCTCTGTGATCAGCAGACTCTCTAGCCTCCCCATGGCTGATGGGTGATCAGCACAGATCATGGATATCCAAGATCTAACAAATTAAGAATTGTAATGCTGTCGGCTGTTATATGTAAATTGATAATAATAATATGTATATTTGGTAAATGAACGCTATAACTAATTTATTAAAGGAACCCATCATGTTTAATAAAGAGTAAGTAAGAACTGCCCAAGGAAAGATCAAGATCAAGGAGGGGAAATGACTGAGACTGATTTTTCATTTTCTCATTTTCCCTAATTTAAGGTGATTTATACCATGAGAAATCCCAAAGATGTTCTTGTGTCAGGTTATTATCATTGGACTATGACAAAACAATGTAAGAAACCAGAGTCACTGGAACAGTATTTTCAATGGTTCATCCAAGGAAACGGTGAGTGTTCTTCACATACAGGTCTGTGTCCGCTATTCTGCTGGTCTTTCTCTTGTTTTTTGGTATATCTATTTTATTCTTCTTCTGTGTATTTTCCACATATGAGAGAAAGCATACAACCCTTGACTCTGTGAGTCTGGCTTGTTTCAATCAGCATGCTGGTCTCCAGTTCCATCCATTTTCCTCAAAGTGACATAATTTAGTCCTTCTTTATGATGAGTAAAATCCATTGTGTATGAACCACATTCTCTGTATCCATTCATCAGTGGACACCAAGGCTGGTCCCATAGCTCAGCTGCTGGGAGTTGAACTGCTATCCACCTGGGGGGCATGTGTTGCTATAGTGTGCTATCTTTGTTTTGTTGGATCCCAAGGAGTTCTATGATTAGGGCACATGCTGGCTCCATTCCTAGTCTTTTGAGGAAACTTCAGACTGATATCCATGGTGTTGTTCTAATCTCCAATCCCGATAGTGTGTACGTGCTCCTTTTCACTCAGTCCCTCCCAGTGTTTACTCCTATTTGTGTTCTTTGTGATTGCCATTGTAACTGGAGAGAGACACGATCTCCATGTAGTTTCTATTTGCTTTTCTCTGGATGTTAAAGTCGTTGTGAATTTTTTTCATAAAATTGTTGGCCCTTGTATTTCTTCTTCTGAGAAATGATTGTGATTTGCCCATCTCTTGATTTGGTTATTTGGTTTTTGGTGTTAAGATTTTTGAACTTATCCCAATCAATAAATGGGCTAAGGAACTGAACAGGAACTTCTCAGAAGAAGATATACAATCAATCAACAAATACATGAAAAAATGTTCAATATCTCCAGTAAGTAGAGAAATGCAAATTAAAACTACCCTAAAATTTAATCTCACTCCAGTCATAATGTCAATTTTCAAAAATGCAAGCAATAAGTGTGGTAAGGATGTGGTAAGGGGAAAAGGCACACTCATACATTGCTGGTGGCACTGCAAATTGGTGCAACCACTCTGGAAAGCAGTATGGAGATTCCTTAGAAGACTTGGAATGGAACCACATTTGACCTAGCTATTCGACTCCTTGGTCTTTACCCAGAGGACTTAAAATCAGCAGACTATATTGACACAGCCACACCAATATTTATACCTGCTCAATTCACAATAGATAAACTTGGAAGCAACCTAGATGCCCTTCAATAGATGAATGGATAAAGAAGCTGTGGCACTTATACACAATGGACTATTACTCAGCATTAAGAGAAAATAAAATCATAGCATTTGCAGGTAAATGGATGGAGGTTTAGAATATCATGCTATGCAAAGTAAGCCAATCCTAAAAAAACAAGGCCAAATGTTCTCTGTGATAAGTGGACCCTGAATCAAAAGGGGTGGTAAGTTCATTGTGTACAATGAATCAAAATGCATTCTGGTGTATGTATAATTAATTAGAAGAAATAAATAATAATAATAATAATAATAACATTATTTTTGAGTTCTTTTATGCTCTGGATGTTAATCTTCTGTCAGAAAATTAGCTGGGAAAGGTTTTGCTCCCTTCTGTGAGCCCTCTCTCTCTGTCTCTCTCCTCACTGTGCGGAAGCTTTTCAACTTGAGCCTCTCCATTTATAAACTCTTGGTTTTCTTTCCTGAACACTAGGAGTCTTATAGAAGTAACGCTTGCACCTACAGGTCGGAAAATAGGCACTATGATTTCCACTAGTAGTTACGGTATTTATGGTCTAATTCCTGATTTTTGATCACTAGGAATTGATTTTTCTGCAGGATTTGGCTTCATTCTTCTACATGTAGATGTTCAGTTTTCCAAGCACCATTTATTAAAAAGGCTTTGTTTTCCCAACATTTGCTTTTGGTGTCTTTCTTAAGGGTCATTGGACTCTATCTGTGTGGGTCTGTCTCTGAGTCTTCTATTCTAATCTACTGATCTCAGTGAATGTTTTGATATTAGCAAACTTTTTTGTTACTATACCTCTTCTGTATAACTTGAGACTGGATAGACTTTAAAACATGATAAGTTCAGCATTATTATTATTATTCTATGGCACTGGGGATTAGACCCAGGGCTCTGCGGGTGCTAGTCAAGTGCTCTATGACTGAGCCACATCTCCAGCCCCTTTTCATACTTTATCTAGAGAGAGGGCCTCCCTAAGTTGCTGAGGCTTGCTTTGAACTCTCTATCCTCCTGCCTCAGCCTCCCGAGTATCTGGGATACAGGAATGCACCATCACATTCCTCTACCTGGGTATTTGTTGAAACCTTTGTGAATGGAATTGCATTCTTGAATTCTTCCTCAGCAGATTCATTCTCATGATGAAGAAAAGTGCTTGTTTTTTGCTTGTTGGTTTTATATGTTGCTATTTTCCTCAATTGATCATTTCTAGGAGTTTTTTGGGAAAGGTTCTTGGGTGTTCAAAGCAGAGACTCCTATCACCTGAGAACAGTGATAACGCGGCTTCTTTCTTTCCCACTGGTGAGGTTTTGATTCCCTTCTCTGCCAACACCTCTGGCTCGAGTCTCTAGAGCTCTGTTGAATGGCAGTGGTGAAAGTGGACATCCTTGTCTTGTTCCTGTGGTAGGAGAGATGCTTCCAATTTTTCTCGATTAGCATGATGTTGGCTTGGGGTTTGTCACACACAGCCCTCATGATGTTCAGCCAAATTCCTCTGTCAAGCAAGGCAAATTCTATTGATGTGGTGAAATACATTTATGGATTTGCCTGTGTTGACCCAACCTTACATCCCTGGATGGAAATCAATATCTCGTGATGTATAATCCTAAAGTGTGAACACAACATGTCCTGAGTATAATCTTAATGCTGAATAGGATTTGCTGAAATTTTAATAAGCTGTTCTGTATCTGTGTTCAGCAGGAATATTGGTCTGTTGTTTTCTTACTTGATCTGTGTTTCCCAGTTGGGTATCATTATGCGACTAGTTCCATAGAATGAAATCAGGAAAGATCCCTCTCTCTATTTTATTACCTGGTTTGAGCAGCATTTATCAATAATATGAGAATCAAGTTGTCAATGTGTATAGAGTGACATGGATGGCGTAGCCCTGTTTTGGTAGTGTGTAACCTGCACCCCTGTGTCTGCCCCACAGTGCCCTATGGATCATGGTTCGAGCACATTCGGGGCTGGATGTCCATGAGAGACAGGGAGAACGTCCTGCTGCTGAGTTATGAAGAGCTGCAGAAGGTGAGCCCCTCTCATAATTGGTGCCTACAGCACCCCAACATCCTCACTCTCCCAGAAGTCCCTGGTCCTATGTGTCTCCCTTCACGTTCCCTGTCAAAGCATAGGCTGTGGAGGTCACTGAGAGGAGATGAGCTTCTGGCCTCCATTTCCCTGCTTCTGTGAGACCCTCCCCAAGCTCCAAGCCTTTCTTCCTATCTTCCAAACTATTGCATCTGGCAACATCTAAAGGGCTCTTCCACAAATTTTTGGTCCTCCTGCCTCAGCCTCGCGAGTATCTGGGAAACAGGCAGGCACCATCAGACTCCTCGAGCAGAGTGCCACGGATTATGCCACCCCCTGGGCCTGCTGAGTTCTCTGCCTGCAGGACCTCCTCTGTTCCCAGAAACATAGCCATCAGAAGGGGTGGGGCAGAAAGCACTAATCCCAGAGTTCGGTCCACCTTTCTGGCTTCCCCCTTGACTGACAAAGTGACATGAAAGTGAGGTGCCACTTTGGGTGACTATTGTGAGGGGTCAGGGGCTGGAGTAACAGGCAGGGCCTGTGGATGAGCTCAGCCCTGGTGGGTGGGTGCAGGGTACAGCTGGGAACAGCAATGACTTCCAGTGACCTGAGGCACAGGGTGGGACTGTGGAGAAGAGTAACTAAGTATATATTTCAAAATAGCAAATGGAGAGGATGTTGAATGTTCCCAACTAAATAAATACTCTCATCTGAGTTTGCAGATGTGCCACTTACACTGACTGGATCGTCATACTTTGAGGAGGTACTTAGCCTAACGTTATTTTTCTGCTGGTGCAGAAAAAACTGCCCATGAACGGCACAGAGATGCACGGGGCTCTGTGGGAGGCTCACAGGTCCACACAGAATGGGAAGCTTTAAAATATTTAGAAGCTTTTTCAGAAGTGGTCAAAAATGAACAAAAAGTAAAGGAGTGAGCAGACCTTAGAAAACCCTTGTCCAGTGGGTGTGTCTTGGGGACAGAGAAGGTGCCACAGGCTCAGGCATCTGTTTCCCCTGGAGAAGGGACCCTGGTCACCTTCCTGCAGCTGCTTCCTGTTCTGCTGTGTCCTCAGCATGAGGCCAGTCCTCAGGGAGGAGCCTTGGTGCCATGTCAGCCACCTCAGCAGCAAGCTGCACACTGCCTGGGATTCTCCTCTCCAACCAACAGCATGTTCTTCCATTATTGCCACAGTTGGGTCTTCTTGTCACTCAGTGATTGGGGCTCCTGAAAACATGGCTATAATAAAGGACTATGGTGCTGACAGGAGCTCTAGGTCTCCGAGGAAATCCCTTCTTCTCATAATGACCTGTTTCCTTGCTGTGATCTCCCAGGAAAACCCATCCATAATCATGGGGTCAAGTTAAGGAGACACTGTAAAGCCCAGTGTGTTATTAAGTGTCAGCCAAGGGACGCAAGATCACTTGGGGTGAGGATTAGCCTTTGGGGACTTTGTCTCGATGCCTTATCTTGAAATCTCAGACGTCTCCTTAGAAACCCCAGCCCCTGCCTTTGGGGTGTCCTGACTCAGCCTCCTGGGAAGCCCCTGTGATGTCCACATCACCACACACCTCACGCCCTCTGCTGGCCCTGTCTCTGCCTCCCTCCTCTGGCGTCCCCAGCTGGCTTCTCCCATCCTGATGTCATTCCCTTCCTCTTCCTCCCACAGCCCTCCTAACACCCCTTCCCATCCTCTGAGTCCTGCTGTCCTGCTGTTCACAGCTTCCCTCTTCATGTTCACATGTAGGACCCAAGAAGCACCATAGAGAGGATCTGTCAGTTCCTGGAAAAGAAGTTGAGTCCAGAAGAACTGGACTCCGTCCTCAAGAACAGCTCCTTCCAAGTCATGAAACAAAACAAGATGTCCAACTTTGAAACATTGCCTGAAGCTTTATTTACTAAGCCTTTCTTAATTACAAGAAAAGGTAAATGCCCTGGTTTCAGAATGGGTTAGACTACGTGGGCATTCTTGTGTTTGCCCCCGGCACTGAGAATGCAGGTGTTGGGACATTTCAACTTGAATCCTTCATGGTCCAGAAAGCCTCTCGTGCCCTTCAGGAAAACTGTGTTCATGGGACTGGGATGGGCTGCAGGTACCTGGAGAAGGTTGACCCCTTCTTGGGGAGGAGAGCGGTTCTGGAGATGGTGGAGTCTGGGCCACTCCACTGGTGACTTACCACAGAGCACTGCCCTAAAGAGAGAGATACACAAAGAAAGACACGACTGGAGAGAGTGGAGAGGAGGGCATTTGCTATGAGACATTGTAAGGCCTCCTTCCTATGAGGAAAGACGAATCATGTCCCCACCCTTGGGTTCAGGCCTATTGAAAATGTCCACTCCAAGTAGTGGCAGGACCTGTTTTGCCATATTCCTCCAGTTCACATGGATCTGAAAGGGTGACCCATGGAATCAATATACTAAGTACTTCAAGGGATATTCAGGAGGTCAGGATTTCTGCCACCCAGTGAGCCTGGAACCCAGAGCCATAAAACAGAGATGGGGATGGGACTTGGGGAGGAGCCCAGGCCCAGCAGAAGAAATCAGTAAAGATTGTTCTACTAATGAAGATAACTATGAAAATGGGAGTCGTGTGTGGTATTAGGACAGCCATGACATATGACATAGGCTGCTACTTTATATTCATCTGAGTGTATTGTTTACATGCACATCTTACATTGGTTTAGCTATTGTTATGTTTTTATTAATTTATTAGATCAGTCTGCTATGTGAAAATTAATGTATATGATGCATAATGCTGTAATCACATAAGTAAAGGGTAAGAATCATGTCCATATATTTAGCACCCATGTCACCACCACCACTCTGTCACTGGGTATCCCCTCCAGGGAGTTTTTAAAACCCTTGTCTGTAAAGCTAGTCTATTCCTCATTTTTTATCAATCCTTTCAAAAAATATTTATTGAGCATATACGGTATAATTCCTTTAAGCAGTAATTCTTAGGCAATTTGTGAAAATGATTTCATACCCTAATATGTTAGAAGTGCATACCTTATGCACATTCAAAGAGGAAGTACACAGAACGTATCAGGTTTGATGATTGCTATGAACGAGGATGGAGATGTACGGTTCTGAGCTGAGAGCCCCCTGAGTCACTGCACTGGAGTAAACATTTGAGTGAGGCCAGTGGACAGAGGTGAAGGTGTCTGCTAGGACAGCACTCTGGGGTCAGGAGCAGGAAAGGTAAACACCCTGAGGAGGGGGCAGCCTGGCAAGTCTGAAGCTGAATCAGAAGACTGTGTCATGGAGCCGAGAGAGCAAATGGGCAGTCCCAGGGATGGAGTCCCAACCAACAAGGACCCTACACCTAGAGCCTCAAAGCACCAGGGAACTTGGCTGAAGGAGAGTGGACGTCCTGGGAGACTCTGAGCCCCCAGGGAATGGAGCCAATGGATCTGGCAAGGGGTCAACATGGGTTCCTTGTGCAGAAGGAATGATCACAGGGATTGGCCAAAGCAGAGACACTAGGTGTGACCTGCTCTCATCACCCAGGTCAGAAATTTTGTCAGCTTGGGCCAAAGTGCTCAAAAAACAAGTGGTCAGACTTAGTTCCAGTCCAGATGTTCTGATTTATAGCCAGGATGCTGCTTGTGGATTCTGTGCAGGATGGTTTGGGAGAGAAGGGCAGTCAGGACACACTTTCCAGACAGGTAGAAGGGGAAATGCACATGGTGTCCAGGCAGGAGAAGGCCTCACCAATGACCCAGGGGTCACTCTGCTGTCTTGACAGAGCAGGGAGGAGGTCTCCATCTCAAGACCTCTCCCTAGATCTGATCTGTGTCTACTTCATCTTTTCCAGGGATCTCTGGGGACTGGAAGAATCACCTCACAGTGGCCCAAGCTGAAGCCTTTGATAAAGTTTACCAGGAGAAGATGGCGGGTTTCCCCAAAGAGCTGTTCCCATGGGAGTAACCTCTAACAGGTCCAGGATCTTCCATGGACACTGTGTGGTTTTCCTGTCCTGGGACATGCTCAGGACTGAGGGGTTCTTCACGTAAAAACCACTTTTCAGGAAAAGGGGGTGGGAGAATAGGATAACATAAAGAACCAATGAAATATAAGATAATTGAGAAGCAAAAGGAATTCTAGTTGGTTAGAGTAGGAGAATGGAGGGGGAGGGGCATGTGGGGAAGGGGGATCAGGAAGGGAAATAGACTTCCACACATGGGTGGGTTTCTCTGCATGAGCCCAACTCCTATGTGAACCCACAAAGCTCTGACAGAATTTAAAACCTGTTTCTTCATTCTGAGCCTGTATTTTGCTTCTCTCATCACTTGCTTGTAAAAATGACTGGAATTTCCCTATTCACTTTGACACATCCTGGCATTTAAAAAAATCATGTATAATTTTAAACAGAAGCCTACCAATGTAAGATGAATATCACCCACAATTGTCTCTCATTCTTAAAACAAGAAATACAATGTAGCAGCACCTAGGGTTCCTTTTCTTTACGTGCATCTCCAGATTGTGTTGTGATGAGGATCTGGAGGAGTGTGATTTTCAGACTAGTTTATTCTCCTTCCTGGTGGTGTTTACATCATAAATAACAATTTCTCTGTTTGGGACTTTTCAAACATACATCAATGGTGAGAGAAATGATATATTCTGAGTTCTCATTTCTACTCAGCATTTACCACATGGTTTTATCTGAGCTGAGGTGTAATGAGTGGTTAGGAATTGACTGAGACTTGGGACACAGTTTCCTGTTCTCCTATAAGTGACCCTGGGTTTTCCCCTCACCAATTTCCCCATATTTAAAGCACTATTTGGCAAGCATGACACAACCAAAGGTACGAGTTTTCTAGGATACATTTAGAACTGAACTGGACTGTTCACTCATTGGCCCCTGGTAGGTGTTAGGAAATTTTTCTCCATAATCTTGTAATGAAGGTAAAGTCCAAATAAACTCTACCTCTGGACTGCTTTTAGTTCACTGTACAATTCACTAAATTTGGAGGTCATGCAGCAGAGCTATGTAGTATTAGTCTCCTGCACCTTACTCCTCAGTCTATACTCAAAGGTCTTGAAATCTACATAAGATAGTGACAAACCACATCAATGTTCAAGGTCACCATGACAGAGTCCCTGGATTTTCTATCAAACCAAACATAATCTAAGCACAATAATTGTATTTTATTATGTTTTTTCACAGCAATTTGTAAATCCCACCCCCCACCTGTGAACACAAAGGCATTGGTAGGGGTTATCCCACCGCCCACCAACAAGGCTTTTCACACTGTTATCAGTGCAGCAGAGATGGGCAACTGGACATCTTGGGCATCATTTCCAGCAAGGCCTAAACTTGGCTCTCAAGTCTTCAGATCCAGAAGTTCTAATGGGAAGAACTAACTGGTGAAAACACACAGTCATGAAGGTTACCCACAGAAAAGACATTGGAAATCATTCTCGCCTACTCTCTGGCAGGCGTGAACATCAGACATTACTTATGAGGATCACAGAGCAGGTCACGGGCACTAGGCTCATGGGCAGCAACAGTCATTCTTCTTCACAGCTCCTCAGCTGCCCTGTTTGGGCCTGAAGGCTCTCTCCACATAGAGTCCCAAATTCCTCACACCAAATCTCTGAGGAAGGCCTGGCCTGTGAATTCATCCAATGGCGGTTGGTGATGTGCCCATTATCAGGGAGTGTCTTGTTTGACTGGAGGTAGATGGTTAAAGCCAAGTCCCCCCGTCCTAGAGTATGCAGTGCAGATGAGGAGAAAGATAATAACCCCACATTCACAGAAATGAATGTCAACGTAGATCAGGATCAAATGTAGAGTGTGGAGTCAGGCAGAGACACCCACTGTGGAGTATCACGTCACGGTGAGGGGAGAGACAGAGTCGTCAGAGTCCCCATTTTAGATAGTGATAAGAAGGGCCCTCTGAGTCAGTGACAGGGCTTTCCTTGACATGAGGAATGGAGAGAGGGAGAGAGAAGGATCTGCCATCTTTCAGGAACAGTTGTGGCAGACAGAGCCCAAATGTAAGTGACCTGAAATGGAGACAAGTTTAGGCTGTTTGAGGAATGGCAGGAAGGCCACCTGGGTTGTATGAGGGTGGCTTCTCCTCAGCTCTGGAGGTAATTTGAGAGGGAGGCCCACTCAAAAATTCAAATACACGGAGTTTCAGGAATTCCTGTGTGTTATATGTTCAGATGTTCAACCCTCAAAGTCAATAAGTACTTAGCCAGAGGGTGGTGCTGCAGTCCGGCTGGGCCAAATAACCGGGAGGTGACAAGCAACTTGAAGGTTGAAGCAGGAACTGCTTTATTGCAGGGAAACTCAGTGGGAACTGAGCGGGCACTCACGGTAGCCAGAACCGCTTTATTGCGAGACAGCAGAGGTATATATACCTAACTGATTACACACAGCTTGATTCAATTAGTACCATCCAGATACAGCAATCAGCCAATAAGGAATCTCCACCATCTTAATGGCTCGGTGGCGTTGCCTCACAAGCAGTCCTCCTGGCAAACTGCCAGGCGCCATCTTAACTTGGTTGTGGCTCTCAACATCTCCCCCCTTTTGTTTAATTAAACAACAAGTATGTGGTTTAGGGACCGTGCCTGTTTTAGGTTGTCCGATACTACATATGGTCCTTACCCGTCATTGGATGGTCTGACCTCAAATCATCAGCTTCCTGGCTTAGGTTGGTACCATTGTAATTGGATCTTACCCGTCTTTGACTACCAGCCCAACATATATAGCCATACTTGTGGATAACGACCATAGTGGTTTTTACACAAGCACCATAAATAACTTGCTACAAGCAGAAGGAGGAGGATACAAAATGCCATGATACCAAGCCATAGACGGCTCCTTTGGAAAAATTTTACCACCGATGACACTGTCAGCAAAGATACCCTGGTACTATTACAATTATCTATAGATTAGCTCATAATGCATATAAGTGATACACAGTCCAGGTACGTTCTGTAAGCAGCTTCTTGTGCTACTTGTTGAGTACTTATTGATGCAGCAGTTTGTACAGTTTGTTGTGATAGCTATTGCAGAAGCTGTAGTAGCAGCAGCAGAAACAGCAACAGCTGTGATGATGGTAGCTGTAATTCTGAAGTACTAGAAATTCTTCTATTTTTGTCTTCACGGGAACTGGGATGAAGGCAGGAATTCTGGCAATGATGGCTAAAGAACCGTGTAGCATTCCGGCAGGTACTAAGAAAACAATCCTCTGAACAATCTAGTATATTATCCTGTACAGAATTACTAGATATAATGAAAAGGAAAGGTGAAAGTAAACAAACAGATCTGTTAATCTTCATATTTTAAAACAATCCTTGTATATTTCTGAATTTAGGTAGACTATTTCATAGACATTAACATTTTGAACACCTAGAAAAACTTGTAAGCTTAATTTTAAAGATATCTTTACTTTCAACTGTTTACCCAATTTAAATTAAACTGTTTAAATCACATGAATAAAAGATATTTGGATCCATTGCTTAAATTTTCATGAGCGTTTCTCATAAATGATATATGGACATATGCACGTACAGACATACAATACATAACACAAGTGTGCACACATAACAAACAACACATAACACAAATGTGCACACATACCACAATAGTAGAGGCTTTGTAGCTTTTCACAGGTGAAATCTCCATTGTAATGTTTAAAAACTCCACAGTTGATCAAAAAATAAAACTGATCAGAAAAACATTAACCTAGGTCTGTATGAGCTCAAAAAATAAAATTGAAAAAAGCACCCTTTCTACCACCTGGGTTTGACTCTTCTTTTGATATCTCATCCTTCTTCCTGTAACTTGCATATGAGTTTGAAGGTATTCCCACAAGGAAGCCTCAAGGTTTTTTACATTTGAAATAGGCCTTAATGGTGCTCATTATTCATGGTCTCCAGGTGTGGAAGAACCATAGTTGCAGATGTAAGGATAGCTGAACTGGAGTTCTGAGTATCAGCTGTTATGGATTTGAGCCAAATCGTCTTCTTTTTGGTCTGTAGAAATCGCTTTAGTTAGTCTCTCTGAAATCCAAATCAGCTGCTGTTTTCCCTGTGGAAACATACAAACAGACCCCCGACTCCAGACAATCACTGAGTCAGGACTTTTCCATTGTCCAGTTAGAATATCCTTCCAAAGTACCTTGGGCTTATGTACATTTTTTGGACGCATGTGCCTTTCCGCAGCACTAAGCCTTGATGAATCCAAATTTAAAAAGTTTAGAGTAAAAAGGGTTATGTTAAGTTTATCTTTCGGGGATTTACATCCCTTCCCAATTCCTTCTTTTTGTTTTAGTAAGTACATTTTAATAGTTTGATGAGCTCTTTCAACTATGCCTTGTCCCTGTGGATTATCCAGGATACCTGTTATATGAGTAATGCCAAATGATGAGCAAAATTGCTTGAAAGAAGTAGAAGTATAGCCAGGGCCATTATCTGTTTTTAACTGTTTTGGAATGCCCACAGTGGCAAAATTTTGTAAGCAATGAGATATAATATCTTTAGTTTTTTTCTCTGGTATGAAGGGAGCCCATCAAGTATCCAGAAGAAGTGTCAACTGTAACATGCAAATATTTTTATTTTTGCAATTCTGGCAAATGCGTGACGTCCATTTGCCATATATGATTAGGTATCAGTCCTCTAGGATTGATTCCAAGATTAACTTGTGGTAAAAAGGTCACACAATTTTGACATTGCTTTATTATATGTCTAGCTTGTTCCTTAGTTATTTTAAAACGCTTTTGTAATGTATTAGCATTAACATGGTAGGCTTTGTGAAAATTTGTAGCTTCTTCTAGTATTGAAAAAACGTGTATGTCATGTGTAGTTTTATCTGATAAATCATTGCCCAAACTAAGGGCCCCAGGCAATCCTGTATGTGCCCTGATATGTTCTATGAAGAATGGATCTTTTCTGTTCCAGATTAGACTTTGTATAGTGGAAAACAAAGAGAAAACAGTAGAGGAAGTGGAAATTCTACCAGCATCTTCAAGGGATATTATAGCATTAACTATATATTGACTGTCAGAAAATAAATTAAATACAGAATCTTTAAACATCACAAAAGCTTGTAATATTGCATTAAGCTCTACTTTTTGAGATGATTTTTTGGGTACTAAAAATGTAAAAGCTTGATCAGGGGTAACTACTGCTGCTGTACCATTATTTGACCCATCTATAAATATTATTGGAGCATTCATGATAGGTGTTTTTCTTGTCATTTTTGGAAAAACTACAGGATGTGAGGACCAAAAAGACAACAAAGGATTGCATGGTAGGTGATTATCAAATGAACAAGTCGATTTGCACATGATTATTGCCCAAGTATTTAACTCATTAGCTAACTCATTAATCTGATCCATAGTATATGGAGTAATAATTTTATTAGGAGAAATTCCAAAAACTCTCTTTGCTGCTTTTATTCCTTTGAGTATTAATTGTCCTACAGCCTCAGGATACCTAGTAAGAATAGTGTTAGGAGAATAAGATAAATGTATCCATAATAATGGAACTTCTTGCCAAAATACTCCCATAGGAATATTTTTAGTTGGTAATACAATAAATAGCAGAGGCAAACTTATATCAATTCTGTCCAGATGCATATTTTCCATATATGTTTCAATGAGTTTTAATGTCTCTCTTGCTTCAGGCATTAACATGCGGGGTGAATTTGGATCTGATGGACCTTTTAGGATATCAAATAAAGGTCCCAACTCTCCTGTTGGTATGCCTAGATAAGACCTTATCCAATTTATGTCTCCTAACAATTTTTGAAAGTCGTTAAGTGTTCTAAGTCGATCTACTCGTATTTGAATTTTTGGTGGGCAGATCATGGTCGAGGATAATAGAATTCCTAAATAATTAATTGGAAAATTTAACTGCACTTTATCTATTTATCTCTAGGTTATAATTTTTTAATAAGTTTGTAAGTGTGGCATAACATTCTAAC